AGATGCAAAAGAAAAAATGAGAAACAATCTGTTGTCCAGGAATAAATAAATATTTAAATATTTTATACTGCTTATATGCTATAAAAAATGTGTGGGCATTAAATGTTCATGAAGTAAGTAAAGAATATGAAAATATTTATCATAGAATATTAAGGTTAAAATCAACATATGTAATTATTCTTACAGAATAACTTCAGCTTTGTAGAAATCAATATATATGGGGAAAAAATTGAAATAAATTTGCCAAAAGATTAACACCACTTTGTCTAGATGGTGACATTATTGGTGTTTTTAAAATTTATGTTTTGATTCTCTTCTGTAGTGTCAATTTTTTTCCTAAATAACACAGTCTTCCTATAATAAGGAAAAAATAACTTAAAAAGATTAATGCTTTTTTATAGTCATAAAATCCAGTTCAAATAACCACACTCAGGTCCAGAACGTCCTCGTACAGGTCAACTCTCCCACTAGAACTATGACGAGTGAGAATTTTCTAGTAGAACCCCTTCAGCAATAAATTACTCAGGCTTTTGGAGGAATAAGATCCAATCAGCCAAACTCAATAGGGTCCAATCTAGAGCCTCTACATTTACTCTACATTTATAATGTAGAGCGTCTACAGAGCTAGACAAAATTCTCCGTTCACAGCCTACGCAACAGACTTGATCTGCTCTATGTTCCTGTAATACCAGCCACGTTATCGCATGTTTTGACAGGACTGATCCAAAAGCCCAGAAGATTTAGGATCATTGCCTTAATATTTGGATGAAGAATGCTAACCTACAGGGGTGCCTGGGTGGCTCAGTCGGTTAAGCGTCCGACTTCAGCTCAGGTCACCATCTCACGGTCTGTGAATTCAAGCCCCGCGTCGGGCTCTGGGCTGATGGCTCAGAGCCTGGACCCTGCTTCTGATTCTGTATCTCCCTCTCTCTCTCTGCTCCTCCCCTGTTCATGCTCTGTCTCTCTCTGTCTCAAAAATAAATAAACGTTAAAAAAAATTAAAAAAAAAAAAAAAAAGAATGCTAACCTACATCAGTCAACATGCACAAATCCAGACTGGCACAAGATGAGTTCTTGTGATTTCGTGTCATTTTGTCTACTTTTAGGCCACAGCAAACCCTGCTTCATTGACCAGATGCCTCCACTGGTGGCAGTGCTTGCTGTGTAGATGAACAGAGCCACTCAGCTATTTAGCGTTTTAGAGAGAGACGTTGTGCAAACATCAGTAAAGAGAGCTCTTTCAGCTGACGTGTAAGAGCGACTTTATGCCTACGAAAAATACAGGTATTTTCCTTGTAGGAGATTACTGTTATCTCTATCACCATGTAGAGATATTTTGAGGGCACCTGCTTCTAAACACAAGCAAAACCTGGGGGTTACCGAGCATGCCTGGTTCTGATAGAATAGGATCGGCATGGAAGGCAGTGAGGGGCCTAAGGTCGAGAGAGTGAATAAAACTTGTTTATTCCTCCTGGACTTTTTCAGGCTCATTCTCTATGATGTCCATACACTTCGTTTACCTTTGTTTTTCCCTAATCATTTATCCATCCATCACAGGGCTTCCCACCCTTCCTACCTACACACATGTTCCCAGGGGCTAACCCTTCTGTTTTATTTTAAAGCAAACAACTCTTGGTCTGAGGCAGCAAAATATTAAATCCTAGCTATTTGGTGCATACATTCTATGCTTATTTTTCCATACTTCACAAGCAATCTTGATAATAACAATGTGAACCTTACGTGAGTTCAAGCCCCACGTCAGGCTCTGGGCTGACAGCTCAGAGCCTGGAGCCCGCTTCAGATTCTGTGTCTCCCTCTCTCTATGCCCCTCCCCACCTCACACTCTGTCTGTCTCTCCCCTTCAAAAACAAATAAACATTAAAAAAAAATTTTTTTTAATGTGAACCTTGGACAAAGAAATGCTTGGTTGTAAACATCCACCTTCCTATAAGTGAGAAGAGTATACTGATACGGTAATAAATGGTACATAACATTATCTGATAAGTTTTTAATCCTATGAAAGTCTAAACTGTATGATACACAATTTGATTTCTTCAACTTCTTTAGGAGACCCTAGTCATTTTAAATAATAGAGTAATGCTTCGTGTGGAGCCTCTTGTAATAGCTACACATATGTGTCATCCTTACCAAGTTACACAAGAAAATGCCAGAAATCTAGCAAATGAACATCCTTGCCTGGGGCCATAGGACAAATTAGTAGTCAAATGGAAACTGAATGATCAGGGAACACTTTCTTCCCTTCCCCAGGGACGTACAACTTTAAGGCAGCTATGTTGTTGATCTAAGAAAGGAAGAATGGAGGGGTGTGCTCATCTCCCATTTCACAGAAAATTATAATGGCTATCATATGTGAATTCCTTCAGCGCCCTGCCAGGAACCCCCATGCCATTGCATTCACCCTTATCTCTTCCCTTATCACATTGAGTGACAAGATTCATTTCCTAAAGTCCCGGGTTTGTCTCCATATGAGCTCAACCTCCTGTCTTCAGAGACTTCCTCACTCAGTCACTCTCCCTTGCTTAAGCATTTGCAATATTTTTCCTCCTTGTAGAATTTTCATATATGCATATAAATATATTCAGACCACATCCACGTTAAAAACTATTCTTTTATAAAAAAAAATATTTTCCGACCATTTTCCACATTTTCCATTTACAGCATAGCTTTGTATTAAAAATAAAACAAACAAACAAACATAGTTAGCAAATCCTGACTCTGTGTCCTTATTCTTCACTCAGCCTACTGCAATCAAGCATCTACCCTACAAGCAATGACACTCAAGACGTCCTCCACATGAATTCACGGTCATTATTGTTTTCCCTGAGCTCTACACTCATCGATCTGACTTCTTATGATGTTTTTTTTTTTCCCTTGACAATATCCAAGATACCTTAAGGTCAATATGAATAAAAATTGAACTCACGGTCTACCTCCTCCAAATGTTTACTCTCTGTAATCTTTGTCTCTGAGAATGCTACCAACATCCACCTTTCTACCCAACTCCAAAACCTAAGGTTATGCTAAATGCCATCCTTTCCTTCATCTTCAACTTCCAACAAGGCCAAAGGTTCTATTGTGTGTCACCTATTTCTTCAATATGCCACAACAGTCCACTTCCCATGTCATTCTCTTTAGTTAAGGCTCTTGATACTCACGGCTTTCTCATTAGATTTCCCTTAGTTCAATCTGACCACTATTAAATCCACTTTCCTTTCTCCTAGTAGAGTTATTGCCCTAAAATTAAAGTTATTTAAAATCTTCCATTCTTTTCACCTTACCATTAGAACAAATTCAAACTCCACAACATGATATTTAATACTTTTTTTTGAGAGAGAGAGAGCATGCAGGAAAGGGGCAGATGGGGGAAGAGAGAGAGAGAGAGAGAGAGAGAGAGAGAGAGAGAGAAAGAGAGAATCTTAAGTAGGCTCCATGCTCAACACAGGGCCTGACTCAGGGCCTATGCAGAGTCCAATGCAGGGCTCGTTCTCACAACCCTGGGATCGTGACCAGAGCCAAAATCAAGAGTTGGATGCTCCACTGACTGGGCGCCACCCAGGGACCCTGATATTCAATAATTTTATCATCTAGTCCCTGACTACATTTCTAATCTTATCTCAGCCAACTGCCATCGTCCCTTATCTTGTACTCCAGCCATATTAAAAAACTTTGGTGTGGCCAAATACATCATACTTTCTCATGATCACGTGGGTTCACACATCTTTCCTTTGCCCGTGCATGTGTTTTCTTCTGTTTTTCCCCGCCAAATTATATGAAACCTCTGAAAATTACTCAAGGGTTATATTTCCACTTATGTCTTTGGTTTCTGCCCCAATCCTCTTCCAGACCTGTCTTGGTTCCTTTGCTCTATGTATGCTCTCAGAGACACTTGTGTTGACCTCCTCCTAGCACTTTTTTCTTTGTTAATTATGGTAAGAACACTTAACAAGAAATATACTCTCTTAATAATCTTTAAGTGTATAATAGAGTATTGTTAATTATAGGCATGATGTTGTACAGCAGATCTCAAAACTAAATCATCTTGCGTAAGTGAAACTTTATGTCTGCTCTAAAGCAAATCTCTATTTCCCCCTCCCCATTAGACCCTAACAATCACCATTCCACTCTATGCTTCTATGACTTTGACTATTTTAGATGCTTCATATAAGTAGAATCATGTAGTAATTGTCGTCCTGTGACTGGCTTATTTCATTTAGCAAATAATGTTCTCAAGGTTCTTCCACATTGTCACATATTGCAAGACGTCCTTCTTTCCCAAAGCTGAATAATATTCCATTGTGTGTGTCCACAACATTTTCTTTTTTTCTTATTTTTTTAACATTTATTTATTTTTGAGAGACAAAGCGCAAGTGGGGAAGGAGCAAGAGAGAAAGAGACACAGAAGCCAAAGCAGGCTCCAGGCTCTGAGCAAACTGTCAGCACAGAGCCTGACATGGGGCTCGAACCCATGAACCATGAAATCGTGACCTGAGCTGAAGTCAGACACTCAACTGCCCGAGCCACCCAGGCCCCCCTCCACAATATTTTCTTTATCCATTCATCTGCTGTTGAACATTTAGGCTGTTTTTCTATCTTGGCAATTGTGGATAATGCTGCAATGAACACGGGAGTGCTAATATCTCTTTGAGATCCTGATTGTATTTCTTTTGGATAAATCTCTAGAAGTGGAGTTGCTGGATTATGTTACAAAGATACAGTAATTAAGACAGTGTGGTAATGGCATAAATACAGACATTTAGACCAATAGAACAGACTAAAGATCCCAGAAATAAATCCACGCATATACAGTCAACCAATCTTCAACAAGGATGCCAAGAATATACAGTGGGTAATGGATGGTTTTTTCAACAAATGGTGCTGAGAAAACTGGATATCCACATGCAAATGGATACCCAGCTTCATGACATTGTGTTTGACAACGATTACACGGATATGAAAATAGCTTTTGAAAATACAGGCAACTAAGGCAAAATTGAGTAAGTGGGACTATGTCCAACTCGAAAGCTTCTACACAACAAAGGACACCATCAACAGAGTGAAATGTGTTCCTGGCCTTTTTCGTGCCGCCTCAAATTTGTTGCTTTTCTCATCTTTTTTCATTCACATACATTGCTTGCCAAATGAGCAAACTGGAAAGCCAGACCCTATGACATTCAGGATAAAAGCTGCAGGATGATTCTTCTACTGGTAATTCTGGTGGGGGCAGGAAGACTGGAAAGAGAGTGGGTTGGAAGGAGGAGAAAAAAAGAATTTTACATGAGCTGCCCAGGAAACTTACCAGAATATTTTGGGTATCACGGGATTACTCTTTGTTTCTTGTTGGCCCCTAGTTGGAAGCGCTAAGTATAATGATTTGCAGAAAAATGTGATCTCTCCATTATGGAGACATCTTCCCCCAAAAGTCAATTAATTTCTCAGCTGATTTTCATGACAATTGCTACAAACAAGGACATTTCTATCTTAGATGGGTAGATGTGATTCTAACTTTTCTTCAACCATAGTCTCACAGCCTGACTGCAGAACAAGACTGAACAGTCTAAAGACCCAAAAAAGATTGAAGCACCTTACCTGAGACAGTACAAATATAAAATCAAAGAAGAAATGATGAACAGGAGGATGTAAATTAGCACTGTGAGCATGACACCGAGAATTCCCGACTGCATGGTTCTTACAAACACCCAGTACAGCTTTGCCGCGTCAGCTACGGGAGTCTCCCCATTCTGTGTAAGCCGCTGAGGGAAAAAAATACAAATTAAAAAAAAATTAGGACGGAAACACTGATCATCAAGTGAGATTAATTTTATACACAAAAAACCATATGATACCACAATTTGTTTTTAAATTGAATTTTCAGGGTAGTAAAGACCACCAGATCTTCAGCTGTAAAGGAAAGGAAAACCCCTTGGCTTTCATGGCTGGTTTGCTAGGGTTTTTTTTTTTCTCCTCGTTTTCCCTATAAGCTTTTAAATGTGTACACTCTACATGCAATTCATAAAGTGAAAGCCATATATTATTTATGTACTATTAACGTCTGAATTTAATGAGCACAAGATATGAAGAAATTAAATATGATGGTGGAAAGATCCCTTTCTCTCTGAAGCAGATTTGAAAGGAATTTAATTTGTGCTATGCATAAAATAGATGGCTTATTTTAGAAACTTATAAAAAAGTTATCAGGCTATTTAATGTGAGCTTGGAAACCAAAGTTTACATTAGGTCAATTTAACAATAAGTCCTTATTAGAGACAAGGAAAAGCATATCCTCTACTGAGTTTGAAATAAATACAAGGCAATGAGGCCTTTAAAAACAATATTAAATGTTGAGGACCTAGAACATTGTCATTTGACATCTTTGACCTTTGAATTTTATAAAACATAAATGTTCTGTAATTATGACTCTGATATCAGGTGGAAGTAATATGCAATATAAATGTAAATAAGGTATGTTTTCTTCAATGTAAGAAAGGAGGAAGAATTTCTTCACTTTTGAAACAGGCAACTATATAAGTATAGCTTAAAAGGGCATGTTCAAAACTAATCCATATCACATATGTATAGATAAAATCAGAAGCCTAGAGAGGTTAATTTATTTTCCCTTTACCATCCTTTAACATGTGGGCAATGACTAGAAGTCAGATCTTCTGACTCCCAACTGTCGTTTCTTTCACTGTCATGCCAAAACTTTGATTTTTATATTCTGTACATGTTACTCAGTCTACCTTGCAGAATACAGACTACAGACTGTAGAATACAGACTACAAATCCAAGTCCGTCACTTGGACTTTAGGCAGAAGATCTGTAAGCATTGCCGTATACCTCTCCTCTTCTAGATCTTATCTTTCTACTATTTCTTAAAGGAAGAGAAATAGATGCAGTATTCACTGCTGAAAAAAAAAAACAAACAAAAAAAAGATATATATTTGATGCCAATAACATAATTTAATCAATAGATGTTGATCACTCGTTTGATCCACGCACATTGTCGTGAACGCCCATCATGTGTCACTAAGCTCTGGAGGTAAGACAGTGAATAAAATTGGACGAGCCCTGTTTTTGGAGCTTACTTTTAAGTTGGGGGTTGGGGAGAGGGGAAGGAAGTGATAGTAAGCATGTAAGTAATATTAAGTGATACATATGGCATATAAGAAGATAGAATCTCAAAGAAAAACGTAAAGCAGAAAAAAGTGTAGGAGGGATGGGGGTGTATTATTAAATACTGCAATCAGAAAAGGCGCCATTTGAACAAAGATTTAAAGGATATAAGGGAATGATGATAGGCCTACCAGAAGGCACTCAGAACACACTGCCCATACTTCCTCTTTGTGTGTGATTCTCCAGTTAGGATGTAAGTTCCTGCCTGGATCACTGGGGCCACGGCTGTTCTACCTGATGTTGTATACAGAGCGTAAGTCGTATCACTTCATTACCATCTTTATCCTCATTTTTTTCATCTTTGATGTGAGGTGCCTTACATTTTTCAAAGTGCATTTCCAGCTGGCTGTCCCAACAATACTGTGCAACGAGTATGGTAGGTGTCACTATTTGTAGGTGTTATTACTTTTTTTGTGATACATATAAAGAAGGTGAAGACTGAAGAGGTTAACTGACTTATCCAACGTCATCTGGCTGACAAATGGCAGAGGTGGGACCAGAACCCAATTTTACCTTGGAAATCGCTCTATTACCATGCTCTTCCATGATCATTTCTGATGGATTTTCAAGAATGATTGGCTGAAGGAAGACACTTGTATTCTACCTTTTGTTTGATCTTGGTTCTTATGTGCTATTCTTTTCTCACTATCTATACGGAGGGCAGAAACAACCTCAAACTTATTCTGTTTCTTTTAAAATCCTGCGCAGAGAGGGACACCTGGGTGGCTCAGTAGGTTAAGCATCCAACCCTTGGTTTCGGCTCAGGTCAGGATCTCACGGTTTTGCGAGTTCCAGCCCTGTGGTGGGCTCTGCATTGGCAACTTGGAGCTCGCTTGGGATTCTCTCTCCCTCCCTTTCTCTCCCTCTGCCCTTTCCCCTCCACCCCCACATAAATGAATAAACTTAAAAGAAAGAGAAAATCCCGGGCAGAGATTGTATAGTCAATAAATACATGCTGATCAATTAAAACATTCAATAGCAAATGCTTCCTCTACTTTTTATCTAGATTGGGGCTTAGGCACGGAAAGAATTTATGAACTCAATGGAACTGTTGTATCATCAATGGGGGTCTGGGAATCCATTGCCAACTTCTGAACCAGCAAACTGAGAGACTAACAAAATGTTATTAGCACCATCAACAGCCACTCAATGCCTCAGCCTCAAACCATTGCATCTGCCACATCTCCTTTTAGATTGCCATAAAAAAAAAAAAAAAATTGATCCAGAACAAAACCTATCAGGAAAATAAGGTAGCCTCTCTCTTGGCGGGCCTACCAGGATCCAATACAAGTTATCCCTGGGTTTATCTGCTAAAAAGAAGGGCTCAAAGAACCGGAAGTATGAACCGAGACAACTCCAGTCTCATGAGTGACATTCAGTCTGGGATAACTATGAAGGCATGTGGAACAGTAGTTCTCTAAATTTAATGAGCATGAGAATCATCTGGAAGACTTGTTAAAACACAGTAACCCCTTCTCAGAGGCTGGGCTCCTTCCCAGACTTTCTGCCTCCACGGCTTTGGTGCAGGGCCTGAGATTTTACATTTCAATTTGCACTGCAGTTAAGTTCCCTGGTAAAACGGATGCCATTGGTCCAGTGACCTCGTTTTGTGAACCACTGCTTTAGAGAAGCACCTCGAAAACTTGGTGCGCTGTTCCATCACTGGAGAGCTTGTTTTCTGGTTTTTTGTTTGTTTGTTTAAAAATTTCTTTAACGTCTATTTATTTTTGAGAGAGAGAAAAAGCGCGAACAGAAGAGGGGCAGAGAGAGAGAGGGAGACACAGAATCCGAAGCAGGCTCCAGGCTCTGAGCTGTCAGCACAGAGCCCGACGCAGGGCTCAAACCCATGAAGCATGAGATCATGACCTGAGCTGAAGTCGGACGCTCAACCGACTGAGCCACCCAGGCGCCCCTGGAGAGCATGTTAAACAGTGTATTTAGATTTAATTATTGGGAGTGTCCACGTGTAGACTCCAGTGCTGCTGCTCTGTGCGTTACATGCAGCTTTAAAGTGTTTTTTTTTTTCTTAAGACAGAAAAATTAGATGTCATCTGCAATGAAGCATGATGGATTCTAATTGGAGAATCAATAATTGTGCAGATGGGGAACGAGCCTTCAGCTTTTCTTTCCAAGTGGAGAAGGATATGGGTGCCATACTCATCTATTAGAGTCCAAGTCAGTTTCCATCGGGTTACAGACCTCTGAACTGGTTCTAAGATGGCCCTGCTGGAGGCTACTTTCCTATAGATTACATCAGAGGCCCCAGAGTATATTAAGACTGCTCGTTGTGTCAGCTGCCTTTGATACAGTGGATCCTTCAGCTATTAATCTCTCTAGAGGACTCGACTGGAATACAGAAAGCCATTCTGAGAGGGCTGCAGACATTCTGTACGAGGAGATCTCAGAAGATCATAGACATAGCCGCTCATCCTCTCCAAATGGCTTCACATGTGGTGTCGCAGATCACACCGGCACCCCATCTGCTCAATACGCACCTCAGGCCTCTGGAAGGCATTCTGAGATGCCATGGAACATGATGCTACCAGAATGTCCACAGCATGTTTCTCTACACTTCCTGCTCAACCAACCTTGAGGGTGTGGTCTCGTCATCTCTCACCTGGGGTCTGAGGGAAGTGGGAATGTGGACAAAGTCCAACTGGCTCCAGCTCAATCCACTCAGAATCAGAAATGCGGCCAACGATCAGGGTGGAAACACTTAGAGATGGGGTTGAAAACACAACCTCTTCGGACCTCTCATCAAGGTGTTAGACGGTATTGAGGCTTAAGAGGGTAGTTGCAGGTTTGAACGTGGAAACAATCGGGCCTTCCAAACACTGATCAACTGTCCTTGGTATGTGGCCCTTCCCCGAATCCTCAGCAGTGGGACCAGAAACTAGATACATTGGTAGGTTCAATGTGCATTGATTTTAATTCATTTTAATAACGTTAAATGATCTACATGGTCGCAGGGTCAACTACTGCACTTATCTGCAGGTTCTAAGCCTTTCTAGCAGAGGTCATTCTAATGCCAAATACGCAGGCAGAATGCCCACACAAAGCCTAACAACCCATTAAGGGACTCAGTGCACCTAGGTCCAGGTCTTGTTGAGAACAACCCAGGAACCCAGAAGAAGTGAAAGCCCCACCTAGCAAACAAAGGAAAGGGAGAGAGGCTGTCTCAGTAAAACATCCGGCACCCTGTCACGGTGCGGTCTGGCCCACGGAGCCGACATCTCTGGTGTCGCCTAGGAATCTGTTAAAATGCAGAATCCCACACTCCAGCTGCCAAATCAGAATTTGCATTTAATAAGACCCCCAAGTGATGCAAGCCCAGGATCCTTGAGAAAACCTGCTGCAGCATTGTGCGACCTGAGGGACAGAAATAAAACCGTGACCGGCTTTGCCCATCCTAGCTGTCTACCACAGCACCCAGGACGCTATCTTCACGATGCAGTTTGAACACCAATTTGGTCTTCAGTTCTAAAAGCACATTTCAAACACTTAACAAGTAGAGTCCATCAAAATGCCCCACCTCTTTGATCTGCTTGGCACAATGAATACAGTCTCGACCTATGTAAACCCATCGGGAAACCTTCCTTTTTCTTCCTGATAGGAGAAATATACCCATTGTAGAATATTATTCGATAAATTGAGATTATTTTTAAATGAATATTTGATCATATTGATTTATTTATAGTATCCGTTCGCTCTCTTGCTTGGGGTTATATTTCATAGCCAGATCTACAATACAAAAATTTAGTTAAAATTCAGATTTCCTTTCCTTTTATTAGCATCACAAAAGTCAAAATAAATGCCTATGGACGAAGGCTTTATATTTTATTTATTACCTAGAATTGTCTAAAAAGCTCTTCTTCTTCTTGAGTGTGTTTATTACAGAAGAGTCGTTGATCACAAAGCAAATAAATAATCTAACCAATTGAAGGAGCCACTGTATGATTACTTTTTAAATAAAGTTTGGCAGTGAAAATCCTTACTACTAAAAAGTAAGTTCCCAACAAAAAGTTACAAATAAGACTTCGCTGTAATAGGTTTTGTTGTTGTTTTTTTTTTTTGAAAATGCACCAAAATTAGTTTGGATCTGATCTCCAACATTATTTCTTGCTTATTTTGCAAATGTTCATTTAAGATGCTAAAAGCACATCAATGGATAATAAGAGACATCCAGAATTTTTTTATGATGTGGAAAGCTTAATAACTTCCATTTAAGATACATAGTGAATTGCTCATGATTCTTGAAACCTCTCATGTCAGCTGATTCATGCACTGAAGCTAAATTCTATGTCAAGAACTCATATCCTGATTATTTTACTTGACTTACCCCGAGGATAGTATCCACTATAAACACGGCCAATGGGTCTAGAACTGTCCATAGTCCCATGGTAATGATTAATTTTGACAAGACATCAGGGCAGGAGGCAAACAGTAGCTGACAGCCCCATCTGATCAGAACCAAAGGAAGTATCACTGCATTCAGCATTAAAGGACCCACCACAACTACGAGCAACTCTTCTTTGATGGCAAGTGAGGAAGATGGGTAGCAAAGCTCAACCGTGAAAGGGGAAAAATGGAATCTGCAGGAGAACAAAGCAAACACACACATGTAAACAAGAGAAATTATACAAGATGCCAGGCACACAAAATAATTTTTTAAATGACACATTTTCTTTTTTTGAATATACAAACAATGACACTTAATACTACCCCCAAATCGGGCGTTAGGAAACTTCACCTTTCCCTACCCCAAAGTACCACCCCAACAGTTCACTTTCCAGTAAAAGGCTATTTCTAGCTTGTCCGTGGCTCTTGTATCATAGGCAACAATAGAAAGAATATCAGTTCTATCCACTGAACAGAGCATTCTATATTCTATAAAAACTGCCCTGCGAGTAACACATACTGACAGGTAGGCTATTTGAAATGCAAAATATATCAGTGTACCTAGCCATGGGTCAACCTCTGGTAGGGAGCAGAAATACAAATCAGTCTAATAACTCTTCTGAGCTTTAGCGTACGTGACTAGTTTTCCTGTGATTCCTCTAGATATACCCTTAAATACAAAACAACGCTGCTCTACTAACAACAAAAATAGGGCATCTCTTAGTTGCTCTAAAAGGGACAGTGTGACACAACCTAAAAACCTAAGGGTTGAATCCAAGGCAGGCCCAGTACAGACTGACCCAGGCCTTGGCACCTTTTTTCCGTGCAAAGTGAGACTTCACCGTGCTTTAAATTTTCCCTCCCCTGCATTTCAGCCTTTGTAATTCTGCTTGTGTATCCTACTTAGCAGCTCTCTGCTAAAAAGAGTTCTTCATTTTATCTACTCCCTGACCTTTGCTTTGACGGAAGCTTTACGCTTCCTTCCTATGCAGTTGTGAATATCAAATGAAGTACTGTGTGTAGATTTCTTAGCAGAGGGCCCAACATAGAGTCAGAGCAGGAGAAATGCTCATTGTGGCTGTAGTTATTGTCTTGTCTCACAACTACATTTGATGTGGAGCTAATGCAGGATTCGAGCCTACAGATCTAGACAAAATATCCTATCATATCTTGGGTCTTCTGATGCTTAAGAAATCGGATCAACTAGGCTGCCCAGATATTTTTCTCACAGTCCCATTTTACTAGCAGCCAATAAAGATAAAGCTATTTTTTTTAATTGAAGAAGTTAAAAGAGCCGTTAGCAAAAAGCAACTAGCTCGAGCATACAACATTTGTCCCTTCTGCTTTGGAAGCCCTCACACAGAAGAAAGGGAAAAAGGAAGAGAGGGGAAAAAAAAGAGAAGAAAGGAAGAAAAATAATAGCTAAGTAAAAATTCTCCTGTGAAGCTACAGTAATTTATTATATGTAAATGTGCATATTCTAGAGCATTCGTGTATTTGTGACTTAATTTCAAAACATGACAAAAAACCACATCTGTGTGTATATAGTATACACACATATTCTTTTTCATAGTGTCTTAAAGTTATATGCAGTCCTCGAAGTTGAAAATATACACATATCTTAAAAAAAATTAAAAAGAAGAAAGGGCGCCTGAGTGGCTCCGTCGGTTAAGCATCCAACTTCGGCTCAGGTCATGATCTCGCGGTCTGTGAGTTCGAGCCCCGCGTCGGGCTCTGTGCTGACAGCTCAGAGCCTGGAGCCTGCTTCAGATACTGTGTCTCCCTCTCTCTTTGCCCCTGCCCTGCTCATGCTGTCTCTCTCTGTCTCTCAATAATAAATAAATGTTAAAAAAAAAAAAAAAAAAAAAAAGAAAATATACACACATCTTTACTTTTATCTGGAACATCTACATTTGGGAAAATGAATTTTACTTATATTGATTTCTATCTGTTTGTTTATCTATACCATCTATGGAATCATGTTTATGGAGAGATAACCTGTAAAGTGTCATCTTTTTCCAGGGTATAATGGCCCGGAAAGCTGCCTGGGCTTGAGTTTGGTAATTGTTTGAATTCAATCACTTTGCAGAAGAAACAATCTTTGCCTCTGTGCGTGATAAATCATACTTATTACTTCTAAACTACTCTCAGCCAGAGTCACTGTGATAAAATCAAAACAGAATAAAACACTGTTGCTAAACTCCTTTTTTGGATTCTGCTCAGATATTAGAACATACTTGACTCTGTTCAATTTGAAATAAATATCGATGTGCCAGTTACGTATTTGTAAATCGAGGCCCAGAAGATGAGAATGCAATAGACGTTCCTGCTCTGAGATAAAGAGATTTTTTTGTCTTTCCAAATCCTGGGTCTGTGCTGCATTTTAGGTCTTGCGCTACGTGGACAGAGAGGAGTTTTGTACTTTCATTTGGCCTATCAAGACGAAAATGCATCGCTTTAACTTTCAAGGGAAGGCACTCACTTTGTAACAGGAATTGAAATGGCCTGGAGGAAAAGCCACTGGCTAAGGTAATGGAGGTAGAGCCTCAGGAACCAGAGAGATGCCATCAGTAGGATGATGTACCAGAAGCCCTGGCTTCGCCACTCAGCAAATTGAAGTTCCGAGAACGCCGACACCATCCCGAAATGAAGGTGCTTGAAGAATTCTCTAGATCCAGTACCATCAGCAACCGAGGAACACCTACAAAGAAACGATGAATCCTGAGCTTCCAGGACAACCAGCAGTAAAATATTTTGAAATGACAATAAAGACATTGTGAAAGTAAAATTGAACGAGACTATTCCTGAAACACTTGGGCTCAAGTGATCTCTATTTCTTTCGCCTCTGATGGAGGATCCCAGGGAACATCGAAAGAAGCATGCACCCAGGAATGGAAATCAAAATCACGGTGAGATATCGCCTCACACCTATTAGGACGACTACTGTCAAAAATAGAAAAAAGTGCAGAAGAAGGAGGAGAAGGAAGAGAAGGAGGCAAAGGAGGAGAAGAAGACGAAGAGGAAGAAGAGGAAAAAGAAGAAAGGAGGGGGGCGCCTGGGTGGCGCAGTCGGTTAAGCGTCCGACTTCAGCCAGGTCACAATCTCGCGGTCCGTGAGTTCGAGCCCCGCGTCAGGCTCTGGGCTGATGGCTCAGAGCCTGGAGCCTGCTTCCGATTCTGTGTCTCCCTCTCTCTCTGCCCCTCCCCCGTTCATGCTCTGTCTCTCTCTGTCCCAAAAATAAATAAAAAACGTTGAAAAAAAAAATTTATTCTGCAAAAAAAAAAAAAAAAAGAAAGAAAAAGAAGAAAGGAGGAAAAGAAAAAGAAGGCCATAAAATAGCAAGTGTTGATGAGGATGTGAAAAAATAGGAACTCTTGTGCCCTGTCGGTAAGAACATAAAATGGAGCCTTGCTAGGGAACACAGAAGGCATGGCAGGCCCTCAAACAATGAAAATGAGAATTAACATATGAGCCAGCAATACCCCTCCTGGGTAGGTAGCCAAAAGGATGCAAAGCAGAATCTCGCACCGGTATTTGCACACCCGTGTGCATAGCATTATTCACTACAGCCAAAAGGCAGAAGCCGCCCAAGTGTCCACCCAATGAATTATTCAGCCTTAAAAAGAAAGGAAACTAGCACGTGCTGCCACGTGGCTCGATCCAGAGGACATTACGCTAAGTGAATCAAGCCAGTCACAAAGAGACAAATACTGTAGGGCTAACTTACGTGTGGGAGCTAGAATAGTCAAATTCACAAAGATAGAAAGCAGAATGCAGTTTTCCAGGGTCTGGGGTCGGGGGCGGGGGTTGATGGTATAGTTTCAGTTCTGCAAGATGAGGAAATTGTGGAGATCGGCTGCATGATGATGTGAATGTACTTAGCGTTGCTGAACGGTACTTCAAAATGGTGGCGATGATAAATTTTTATGTTATGTGTATTTTTACAACAATACAAAATGTTAAAAGAAATATGAAAAGGAACTATTATAAAGAATAAACTTATTTTTAAAAATCTTTAAAATATGTAATATATCCCTGCTTATCTCACCTACCCACGATGTTCCTTCTTTATTTAAATGAGATTTCATTTTTGGCTATAACCTGTTAAACATTTAACTATTTCGGGGGTGCCTGGGAGGCTCAGGTGGTTAAGTATCCGACTCTCGATTTCAGCTCAGGTCACATTCTCAAGGTTTGTGAGTTCCAGCCCTGCATCAGGCTCTCCACTGTCCACACAGACCTTGTTTCAGATCCTCTGTCTCCCACTCTCTCCGCCCCTCCTCCACACTCTCAAAAAATAGTTTATTTTTTTAAATTAAAAATATAAAGTTGACTATCTTATTTTATTTATTTTTATTTTATTTTACTTATTTTATTTTATATTCTAATATAATTTATTGTCAAATTGGCTAACATACAGTGTGTAAAGTGTGCTCTCGGTTTTGGGGGTGGATTGCCGTGGTTCATCGCTTTCATACAACACCCAGTGCCCCTCCCAACAAGTGCCCTCCTCAATGCCCGTCACCCATTTTTCCCTCTCTGCCACCCGCCCCTCATCAACCCTCAGTGTGTTCTCTGTATTTAAGAGTCTCTTATGGTTTGCCTCCCTCCTTCTCTGTAACTATTTATTTCCCCTTCCCTTCCCCCATGGTCTTCTGTTAAGTTTCTCAAGTTCTGCATGAGTGAAAACATACATTATCTTTGTCTGACTGACTTATTTCACTTAGCATGACTCCTTCCAGTTCCATCCATGTTGCTGCAAATGGCATGATTTCATTCTCATTGCCAAGTAGTATTCCATTGTATACATAAACCATATCTTCTTTATCCATTCATCAGTTGATGGACACGTAGGCTGTTTCCATAATTTGGCTATTGTCGAAAGCATCGCTATAAACATTGGAGTACATGTGTCCCTTAACTATCTCATTTTAAAAATTGAAATGCATTGTTAATAAATATATCACTAAAACTATGGTAATGAAAATTTGAAACTTAAAAAGTCTTTTATTCTTTAACACTATACTGACATTTTCAGGTGAAACTAAATGTACAATAATTACATGCAAGGTGTTCTGACTTAGCTTCGGTTTCCTCTCTCTGTTTGGTATTGGGACAAAACGATGTTTTCAAAGTTTATAAAATTAGAGCTTTTGCAGGAAAGAAGATGAAGAAGTATTTGAAAATAACTGTCGAGGCAGAACTTGTTCCCCACCTAATCCCAAGAAAATGTGCAGGGAGTACACAGTAGGGTTCCCATAGCTTACCGACTAGAAATACAAACTTTGGACTCAAATGCCCAAAGCCTCAATGTCTACATAGAATTCCTATCTATGCCTCAGTTTGCTCATATGGAAAAGGGGAGTAGTGATAGTACCCCATAAGCCAGGGTCAGGATAATGACCAAATTAACAGATGTAAAACAATTTGAACAGTGTGATGCTGCACTGTCATCACAAAATAGTAAATACTCAATCCACGCTTTCACCCTCTTTCCCCTCTTCCAATATTTACCAGAGCTGCTTTGAAATAGGCTGGCCTTCCATCAAGCCTAAGAAATATAGCAGTTGAGGGGCGCCTGGGTGGCGCAGTCGGTTAAGCGTCCGACTTCAGCCAGGTCACGATCTTGCGGTCCGTGAGTTCGAGCCCCGCGTCAGGCTCTGGGCTGATGGCTCGGAGCCTGGAGCCTGTTTCTGATTCTGTGTCTCCCTCTCTCTCTGCCCCTCCCCCGTTCATGCTCTGTCTCTCTCTGTTCCAAAAATAAATAAACGTTGAAAAAAAAAATTAAAAAAAAAAAAAAGAAATATAGCAGTTGATATGATTCCTTTCATTTTAAAGAGATATAAACAGGAGATGCATATGTTATTTAACTCAAGCAGTAAATATCATCGGTATATACCATCACCAGCTTAATAAAATGTTGGTTTTGTTGAACCAGTAATTGATCTTTATAATAACTAGATTCCAAGTCCTGTCTTGGAACCTTAGCCTGTCTGATTCTGCTCTAGAATATGTTTCTAGAATAATTTGGGAAATTCCTCAACCAAAAATGGTCCGGATTAAAAACATCTTACCAAAGAAGAAGCTAGTATGATACGAAGTAGTTCAGGAAAAATGATAAAACCAAAACAAGTCGAGGCAGCGTGAGAACATAAAAGAAATGGGATTCATAGAGAGATACAAAAGATTGTATATGCAAAAGCTCATCTCTCTCTGAAGACTGTTAAATACGATGATAATTGCACCATGAAAAGGAGAAGATAAATAATAGAACTAAGAGCCTTTGGGGGAACAAAGAACAAACGGGCGACAACAGAAAGTAAAAAACAAAACACACAAACAAACAAAAGAAACATATTGTTCTCAGGATTCCAACCCAAGACTTTAGCCTTCTGGTCTGCACCGGACGAAGGAGGCACTGAATTTGACATCGACCGTTCCTTTGTTGTTCGGGTCTGTATTTTGCCATGAAGATGTAGACCATCATCTAACCCAGAACTCCGTGCGGAGTCTGTAGTGAGCATGCTTTTCAATTATACAAACGAGGAACAGCTAAACAGGAAACAGGCCCCTGAGAGGTTTGGGTTTACCATTGGTAACAGAGTCCTCATAGGAGGATTCCAGAATACCTTGCTACATTTATCATCATGTGAAATGAAACCCAGAACTTTCTACCCTCCTAAAGCAAAATAGTCTGTGCCCGCTCCTCTTCAGTTAATTATTCCGTTGCTGTTTTGCCCCTTCAAAGAGAAGAGAAAATCAAATGCAGATTTGGCATTGTGTTGTTTGCAAAACACCAGAAAATCTCAAATGATGCAAAACAGAAGAGACGGTAGCCTATTTGACCTTTGAAAATTTCCACTGTTCTTTTCATACCCATTGAGACAAATGACTAAGCAGTTTAAGTGTTTATTCACAGAACCCACTATAAAGTCATACTTTTGCCATTAGTTTCACTGATAAATGTTTCCCATTCACATTCAGATACACATATTGGTTTCTGGGGCATGTGAGTTAGGACAAATAATACTAAAATATCATCGTGGAGCATTTATATCTAACTCAAAATACTCAATTGCTTTGTACCTGCTTAACACACTTCAATATTTGATTTTACTTGTTCATTTAACAATGGTAACTCGAACATCGGGAACCAAAGAATTAGGAAAAACCTGGAATCCATCATTTAGAGTTTGAACAATTACAGACTTCAGAGTTAGAAATTAATAAAGGAATTAGTTGATGCCAAATGATGCCAAATAAAAAGAAGTTATCAACAAGCTTATCAGGTGAACAAAACTCATCAAGGAGAGCCTTACAGACAATTCTCACATGACAGTGACAGTCCGTTTCTCTTAATCACTTCAAATTTGCACTTGAAATCCAAGGGTGTACCGACGGAGAATTACATCCACAACCCTCTCTCGATTCGTTGTTCCTGAAATAGATTTCATTCAAAAGAAAACTCTGCATCCATGTTTCAACATTTTCTTGAAAGCAAACCTCGCTTTTATTCTCGTACACATGCAAGGCATAGTCTAAGATGCAGGGCCACTGTACAATATCTTCATCCACATTTCCACTGTTCTCTCCTTCCCCTGTAATCTTTCTTGGTTATGTACAAAGAGTATGACCATCAAAAGGATAATAAATGGCCTCTGCCACTGGGGTGTGTAATACGTATAGTGGGAATTGATTTGTTGGTTATGAAGGAAGCCGGAGAGCACACAGATCACTGCAAAATCACATTGAGGCCAGCAACTACTCCTCGGTTCATGCAGGCGAATCCTCTATCGCTCACAGGGTGAGCTGCCAGAGGCTGAGAAGAATGGTCAGGTCATCCAGTATTCAGCTATTAAATGAAACCTATTTCTCTGAACTTCAGCCACATTTCATATGACACACATATATCCCCCTTTCCATGCCCAGTCCTTATACAGACCCGATATCAAACAAGATTTCTATGATCCATCAGTGTAATAATAATAAAAAAAAAAAAAGACCCAAGTTGCTTTATGGAAAAAACAAAAAAGCATGGAATGCATTCTTTTACATCGAACAGTGAATAGGAGTCCTTAGGGATTTGGATATAACCCAAACCCACCATTTATCAGCTGTGCATAATAATCCTTTTAAGAAGTGACTATCAATAAATGGCACTAAAATTTCCATATTCTTTTCTTCTGTATGACTAACCATACACTAAGTGTAGCACTGAAAAAAAATTAATGCTTATTTATTTTTGAGAGAGAAAGAGAACACCAGCGGGGGAGGGGCAGAGAGAGAGGGAGACCCAGAATCCAAAGCAGGTTCCAGGCCTGAGCTGTCGGCACAGAGCCCCACGTGGGGCTCGAACTCAGGAGCGGTGAGATCATGACCTGAGTCAAAGTCAGATGCTGTACTGACTGAGCCACCCAGGTGCCCCATAAACATAACATTTTTAAAAATCAAGTTTGTTTGTTTGTTTTATTTTTTTTGTAACTCTTCTTGGGGGGGTATTTCTCATTTCTTTTTTCACTGTGTTCCATTTATCAAGTTTTTGAACATAGAACCCTCGGTGATTGTGAAGCTTTTTCTAAGACTTAATATTCAGCATTTCAGGAAATCATTCTAATGAGGGTATCAAAGAAACATGGATAGGTTATACTGTGTTAATGTTGGAGAAGGCCTCATCAGATTCCCTCAGACTTTTTCAAAAGCGGAACTAAAGCCCAGTCAGTTAAGTGATTTGCCCAACTTTATACAACTGGTAAGAGTTTTCTAACCACTGTATCCAGACTTGCCATTAGGCGCTCTCCATCAGTTTAACAAGACAAGAAAGTGTAGCCTGCTTGAAAGAGAGACCCTTTACCAAAACCTGAAAGAAGGAAAGGGTTCTTCTTTTATGGAAGTTGGTTTAATTGGACACAAACTCATTCATTCAGCAGATCGTCATTAAATAAATGTACATGTCAGGCCCTGGGATGATGTAGTAAGCAGAATAATGGCCTCCCCCAAATATGCCCACACCCCAATCCTTGTAACCTGCAATTATGTTCAATTATATGGCAAAGGACAATTAAGGTAGTGTACAGAATTAAGTTTGCTAAGCAATTGAGTTTAAAGTAGATTATCATGGGTTATTTGGCTGAGCTCAGTGAATTCACAAGGGTCCTTAAAAAGTGAGAGGGGAAAGCAGAAGAGAGGGGGAGACGACAAGAAGGAGAACGAGAAGAATGGCAGCGTGCGAAAGACTTGTCTCAAATGTCTTGGCTTTGAAGATGGAAGAAGGGAGCCATGAGGCAAGGGATAAGACCAGCTTCTAGGAGCTGGAACAAGCAAGGACACATTCTCCTTAGAATCCAGAAAATAAAACATGTAGTTCTTCTGGCCCCTAAGTTCAGCTCAGTGAGACCCATTTCAGACTTCTGACCTCCAGAACTGCACAATAATAAACTCGTGTTGCTTTAAGCAGCACCAAAACACTGATGTAGATACAGGTTCTGGATTTTCACAGATGAGCAACATTGTCACTCACCCACAGCAATTTCATTCTATTGGAAGAGACATATCGGTGAAAAGACAAATAAAATCCAGGGACAAACTCCAGGGTGAGAAGTGTCACGGTGACATACAGAATGCTACGAGAAAACATAGGATGGACACCTATCTCCAACTGGGCCAAGGAAGGCTTCCCCCCGAGACCTATGAGGTAAAGAGGAATCAGACAAATGAGAGGAAGAGGTATATGGGAAAGCTAGGAGGGCATTCCATCACACATGCACCGCTCAGGACAAGAGAGTTCCATTTCTAAAGCTGAATATAAGTTGCATAGGGTGGAGAAAGTCCAAGTAGGGGAAGGGGTCTGTTGGTGGAGGCCGGATTAATGGATGCCATGCTGCAGAGTGTTCACTCCATCCTGGCACTCTTAGCAGCCCTTGGAGTAACTAAAGGGGAAGGAGATGGGGGGATGCCATGTTTGTGTTTTAGAGATACTGCTCTAGCTGCAGGGGGGAAATAGTTTGGGTAGGTTCAGACCAAAGGGGAGAACAGATTATGACTTAGATGATGACTGATTAGTACTGCTCAATGATGAGCAGAACTGTAGACCTTTCAGAAGTATGGGCATGGGTGTTCTTTGCTGTCACAGTAACTTGAAGGGTGGAAAAGGCACAAAGCTTCATGAAATGTGCTTGAGAGTCTCAACCGATAAAGATTTCTCCTGACCCCTATGTTAGTTCCCGAGGGCTACTATCACCACGAATTGGGTAGTTTTAAACAACATAAATGTATGCTCTCACAGTTCTGGAGTCTAAAAGTCCTAAATCAAGGTGTTGGCAGGGCCATGCTTTCTCTGAAGTTTCCAGGGGATGGGGAGGTGGAGAAGGAAAGATTCTTCAGCTTCTGGTAGCCTCAAGCATTCCTTGCCTAGTGGCAGCAAAAATCCAATCTCTGTCTCCAGTTTTACATGGCTGTCTCTCCTTTGTTCATCTGTGTCTTCACAAATAAAGACATCAGCCGTATTGGATTAAGGGCCCACTCTACTCTAGTACGATCACCTTTTAGCTTACCTTTACGGTAACCCTGTTGAGGTACTAAGTCCTACAACTTCAACACATTATTGAAGGACAACAGTTCAACTTTTAACACCCCAAATGCCAATAGCATTTGCCAACAGCAGCCCTTTAAAAGGAAAAGGGAATTAGAGGGGTGTAGGACAGGGGCAAAGAGATGGATTTGAGAGACAGTTGACTAAGATGAACAGGACTTGGAGACTGTTTGAATTCAGGATCCCAAAGAAAAGAATCTAAAATGGTTCCAAAGTTTCTGGCTGGGGTAGCTCATCCAAAGAGCGGCTTGCCATATTAGAGACAAGCATTTAGTGAAGAAGAAGGGAAAATGAGGAAACAATAAGCTCATATTGACCCGCATATGGAAATGCTCATGGTAAATCCATGAAAATTTGCCCAATAGTCTGTCATACTTACGGAAGTGAGGTTCAAGACATATCAGAACTGGAAAACAGTTTGATGAAGTCACCAACATGGTAGTAAGCCATTAGAATGATTGAGACACATTGTCAATACCCAGTATGTGGAAATGATGTAAAAACTAAAAAATATATATACAGGTGCTTGTCCCTCAGATTACTACAAATATTCTCTTCAAATGGAATCAGCAAGCTTGAACAATATAAACTCAAGTACTCTTTGAAGGTATTCTTTTCCCATATGTTGGTTTACAGCTGCAAACCCACTTAATCTAGACAAAACCCTCCTCCTTCATTCACGTCCCTGAAAAATAGTTTATGGATAAGGGTTTTTAAGGTAAGTGAGAATTTTTGGCATAGACAATAAAAACTGATACAATAAAAATATACACAGTATATAATATGTGTATACTGTATTTAATTTACAGAGCCACTTTGGAAGACAGGTGTTTCTGTACACATTTTACAGATGTGGAAATGAGAAATGAGAAAGTTCAAATTACTTGCTCTAGATCATACAGCTACTAGGAGACAGAACAAAACAAGCATCTAGATTTGAATTTAATGTTAGTGCGATACCACGGCTTGTGTGTTTCCACGACCCGTGTGGCCAAGTGCATGGGGGCCGACGGGGTTGGCAGGAAGAAGGTTCACAACTCATTTACATGTACCAAGAACTAATACTGCAGCTCAGTAAAAATGCATTACGAAATTAATATTAATATATTTAGTGAGGCTTGGGGTGCATGGGCGGCTCAGTTGGTTAAGCGTCTGACTCTTGCTTTCAGCTCGGGTCATGATTTCACAGTTCGTGGGTTCGAGCCCTCCATTGGGCTCTGTGCTGACAGTGTGGAGCCTGCTTGGGATTCTCTGTCTCCCTTTCTCTCTACCCTTTCCTGCTCACTCTCTATTTCTCTCTCTCAAAATAAATAAATATTTATCTATAGATATAGATATATAGATATAGATAAATGTTTATTTATATATACATATATACGTATGTATACATATGTATACATATATATACGTATCATATGTATACATACATAGATATACATAGATATACATATATACATATACATATACATATACATATACATATACATATGCATACGTATATATGTATATCTATGTATACCTATGTATGTATACATATGTATATGTATATATGTATATCTATGTATATCTATGTATATGTATATATGTATATCTATATATATAGATATATATATAAATAAACATTTATCTATATCTATATCCTATATCTACATGATATACATTATAGAGATATAGAGATAGAGATAGAGATAAAGATACAGATATTAGTGACGCTATTCACTCACTGAAGGCAGGAACTGTCTTGTTCAGTGCCATATCCCCAGGCCCAAGCACCATGCTGTGTACATAGTAGGTGCTTTAAAACAAGCATTTGTTAAATAAATAATTTTTTAAATGTGTCATTTTCTAAATGGTTTAGGTAAAAACTCTGATCTGCTTCAGTCATTTGATCTGTCCCTTTAACTTAACATTTCTAGATTCATATAGTCCATTCAGACAGTCCATTCAGACAGTTAATTGTTCCGTGCTTAAGAAAATAAAAAACCACCATTAAAATGGTAGCTGAGAAAAGTCTCATAAATTCACAGCAGTATATTATTAAATGATTTGGCTGGTAGGGACTCTTGGGCAAGTTCACTGTGGTACCATATTTAAAAGAAAATGAAGGGGGCGCCTGGGTGGCTCAGTCGGTTGAGTGTCCGACTTCGGCTCAGGTCACGATCTCGCGTTCCGTGAGTTCGAGCCCCGCGTCGGGCTCTGGGCTGATGGCTCAGAGCCTGGAGCCTGCTTCCAACTCTGTGTCTCCCTCTCTCTCTGCCCCTCCCCAGTTCATGCTCTGTCTCTCTCTGTCTCAAAAATAAATAAAAAAACGTTAAAAAATAAAAAAAAAAAGGTTTAAGAAAAAAGAAAATGAAGTAAAATACGCCAAGATAAGGAAACACTTATTTGGAAAGAGATATAATTAACCCAAATGAATTATTACAGAGGGAGGGGGGCTGGAGAGGTGGGCGAAATGGGTGAAGGGAGTTCAGAGGTGTAAACTTTCAGCTATAAAATAAACAAATCCTGGGGATATAACAGGTAGCACGGTGACTATAGTCAATAATATTGAAATGCATATTTGAAAGTTGTCAAGAGAATAAATCTTAAAAATCTCACCACAAGAGGCAAAAATCATAATTTTGTCTGGTGGCAGATTTACTGTGCTGATCATTTTACTATATGCACAAACATCAAATCATTATGTTGTATACCTGAAACTAATAATCATATCAATTAAAAAAAATGAATTGTTACAATACTATTATCATATGATGATTATTGGATTGATATATATATATATGATAAATGACATCAATATCAGTTTTATTTTTAACCAAAGTTATTATTAAAATGCTCAAATCTGATATTGCCTTGTCATTATTTCAAGTATTTGGAAAAATACTTTCACAGAAGTATCTGTACATATACAGATTTCACCAACATGTTCTGGGTAAAATTGTGTTCCATTCTTTCAACTTTTACAAAACGTTATGAGGAGGAAAACTTCACAAGTTTATCTTGATGTTAGCATTTTTAAGCTAGATCCCCCCCCCGCCCTAAAATTGTATCTCCTTGGCCAATTTGGGTATTATACTTTTAATATAACACATTGCACCTTTACCAGATTTAATTCAATTTATAACAAATGCCTCTAATTAAGTTAAAAGATCTTTGAAAATTGCTAAATCTTCGGGGTAATATTACCACGACTGACATTGAAATAATTGATCATTCCCACTGAGGCACAAAAGTATGAATGTTCTAATGAGAAAACAGGGATTGAAGTATGTTGAAGGAGTCCAAAGAGACTCCCAAACTCTTTAGGCGGTTATTTCCAGTGACTGTCTCAGAATGGGACCAGGAGCTGGGGCAGGGACAGACGACACTCAACCCAGAGCCTAAGAAGGCAATGAAAGCAAACTTGAAACACAAAGTCACCACTTTGAGCAAAGGTGAACAAGGTCTGCTTTGCCTTCCTAAAATACTCTCATTTCAGTATGCATGGGTTTCTGTTTTACAATGTCAATTTTTGCCATTGACAACATTTTCGTGACTAGTCCACGCCAATAAATACCGGATGTAATACTAGAATGCATCTATTTTTCCAAGAGAAAGTCACTTAGAGCCAAGAATCAGTAAATATGTAATTAGTTAGACCTAGTGGCAGAGCTCCTGACCAAACACCACCACCGGAGTGGGGAGTAGAAACAGAGTTTGGTTAAAGTGTTTATTGCGGCTTTGTGAAGGGCTTTAGGAAATCACTTACCTTTGCAGCTAATCTGTTAGTAAGAAGGAGAACACCTACCTTGCCGGTATTTGCTTGGCCTAATTAGTTAAAAATGTGTACAAAACGCTTCCAACGTGAAACTCGCTAAATACTTTATGCATAATGGAAGCTTCATTAATGGCTGGAACAATAACGTAAAATCAGCTTTGCAAACAGTCACATTAATGAACTGCATGATAATGCATAAGCAGGGCAGCATAAGAAAAAAGATACTTCACAGCTTCGCCATAAGAGTATCAGGAGGCTTCACAATTTATCAGGCTATATATAGATGCAGATTGGAGAGAGGCAGATCCGTATACAGGCTGACAGCACAGAACCCAGTTTAAGTCTTTGTTCTTCTGTTTACTAGTCTGCTGATATTTTGTGGGTTATCTGATCTCTGGGCCTCAGAAACTTCCTCTAAGATAGGGGTTTGGAATGTCTCCCGTTTTGAGTCATGAGGATTGAGAGAAGATGTCAGATTTCCAGGAAGGTGCTTGCCACTTTTAGAGAGGGATTGTTTTATAATACAAAGCTGGAAAGTCACTCAAGACCAAGAAAGCCATTTCACAAAATTGACTTCTAATTTTGATTCCACTATTGTGGGCAATGGAAAAACATTCAGGAAGAATTACGTTGTGATTCAACCAATGGCATCTCAGACATTTAAATTGAAAAGCAAAGATATATCTTTAGACCCTTTTCTTCCAAATAATAGTTTGGATAGCGTGTATTAGATAAATAGTTTTTGTTTTGTTTTGTTTTGTTTTGTTTGTTTTTTGTTGTTTTGTTTTGTTTTGTTGCAGTAATAAGTCCATAAAGGGAAATGCAACCCAAATTATTGACAATAGCAGATAGGCTGAAAGTAGGAAAGAGAGAATATTCTTGCAGTGTGCAGAAGAGTTTAAACAGAAGCTTGATAAACTATTATTATGTGTAAGAGTACTATAACATGCTCAGATTTTGTTGCGGGATTGAGTTTAATTTTACTGTTTCTAGCAAAATGTGGGCACATGGCAAATACACTGTGAGTCTCACGTCATCTCACCCCAACACGATGGCCTAATTCAGATATAAATCAAGTAATCAAGTTAAAATGAAGATGAAGACAATTTAGGAAAAAGTGATGGCCAAATGTTGACAAGAAGTCTGAGGGTGTCATCTCTCCCCTTTTGTCTAGTCTCTGGAGCAACGGGTAGCTCTTACTCATGTTCAAGTTCTGTGCAACTGAATTGAGCTGAGTTGGGTTGAGTTGAGTTGAATTGAAAAATGCACATAGCATAATAAATGAGCTTTACGTAACAGTGTGTCATAATATATACATATATATTTGATATGTATCAAAAGAAAATTTATAGCATAGTTTTAAAAGTATGAATTTTTTAATGTTTATTTATTTGAGAGAGAGAGACAGACAGAACAAAAGTTGGGGAGGGGCGGAGATAGGGGGAGACATAGAATCCGACACAGGCTCCGGGCTCTGAGCTGTCAGCACAGAGCCCGATGCAGGGCTCAAACTCACAAACCTTGAGATCATGACCTGAGCAGAAGTCAGACATTCAGCCTACTGAGCCACAATGACACCCCTAATAGAATGAATTTTTAAAATCAGATGGAGCTGGGACTGAGTATCAGCTCTTTCACAACATGCCTGTGTGAACTTAAGTAAAACATTTAATCTCTTTAATATAATGCCTTTAAGATACTTACAATACTTATTCCAAATGTTTATAAAGCAATCGAGAGAGAAAATGTAATTTTTGTCTCATAATAAGTGCCAAATTAATGTTAGTCAACAGAATTGTTTAACACCATCAATAACAATAGTAATATTTTCAAAATAAATAATAATGAAAATAACTTAAGTTTCTCTCTCTTCTCCCTGATTTCTTACAGGGAAGGATGCCTGCTGTGAAAATAAAATTTAAAGCCTTCCAATTATGCCCAGAAAATTTTTAGTAATTATTAATCCATACCTTCTTTTAAAACTTCTAAATAAACACCTAAAAATGGAGGGACCTATATCTTATAATTTAGTACAAAAAAATACATAATACAATACATTAACTCTTTTTCTTTCCAATTTAATTCTGTGTTGTTTTATTTAGCCACCTATTATAAAAAGTAATTTGTGTTGATAGCTCTGAGGAAATCTAGAAATTAAAGAGCTAATTAAATTTTTTCTGAGTAATTCGTGAGTCTCCGTATCAATATATACATGTAAGTGTGTGTGTTCATCTGTGTGCACGCACACATATTTAAACATCCATGAATGGACAAATACTGCTAGATGTTTCTGGAAATTGACCTTCCATGATGTCTACTCTGACTAACCATTTCCTCTGGGCAAACACACCTAACCTTTAAGCCATGTTTCCAAAGGAATCATAGATCATGCACCTGGTAAGGCTGAACTAGAATGTCAGAAAATGTGATCAAGATAGGGAAGAGAGGTAATGAGAAACTGACCTGTTTGTTGTGAACTTACTATCTATGGAGGATCTTGAGAAAGTTTTTGCTATCTTAAGTTAAAAAATAATAAGTAACTTATAAAACATTTAAATAATGCCCCCATTTCTATAAATAGTTTTGCATCATCACACATATATAAGTGATACTTTCATAAATAATTTGCCTGAATATTTTCAAAATGGAGCTCATACACGTATTTATGAAAGCATTACAAGAAAGGCACATCTGGTATAATAATTCCAGGATGTCATCCTGAAACAAAAAATATGACCACAATTTGCAAAATACTTTGCTGAGTGAATGCTGTGTATATACTATACTCCTATATTTCAAGGAATGCACAGGTTTTGTTAAGTGAAGCTCTCACATATAAAAGTGAGAGTTTCTTCATCTTCCCACTTACCAAAGCACACGTTTTCAATGGGAACGTCTGCAAACAGAATGTTAATTAAAACAGCAAGGTAGACATAAGTCACAGAAGTGTTCAGTTGTCTACCACTAAGTAGCTGCCTTCCATTCTAGGGCAGAGGTGCATCCAGAACCCATTGAGAAGACATCTTGACCACTTTGTACTGAAGTCAAGGAAGTATAACCGAGCACAAGGAAACCCTGACCCCCACACAGGTTGTAACAGAGGCTTTAGCTGATGATCTGGAGTTTGTCCTTGGGGGCTGTTTCAAAAAGAAGGGAGCGGAGAAGGCTTCTGTATTTCCACATCAGTCAGTTAGTGACAACGAATTGTCCTCTGGGAGGGGCATGATCTGGATGAGGATGTTTCCTGTGGCCGAGGAAAGTTCCCATAGACGGACTCTGGTCTGAGCCATAAGCAGGCTACATTCTCAGCAACTGAGGGGTGTGGGTTTAACCCAGAGGGAAGTAGGTGAAACACCATAGTATCTATCACAGTCCACCCCTTCTTATGCTCAGATCCATTTGCTTCTACGGTAAATTCATACCATCTAGGAACTGTTCCTCCAGGCTTATGGTCAGTCTTGTTTTCTGGGAAACTTAGTGGAGAAGTGTTGGTGAAGACAACTCAGCTGTGCAGCTGACATCGAGGTTGTAATGAAACTCTTCATCACTCTCCTCCACCATCCCAGATTCCCCTCATCCTGATCTGCATCTCTACAGGTCTAGATGGCTTGATCTTGCCTGGTGGCATAGTCTAAATGGGGACTCCTGATGTGTCCAAACTTCTAGAAGGTATGCTCCTCTTAGGTGGTGTCTATTCTCAGTTAAAGACCTCAAATGGATCACCTGAAAAACAAACCTATTCTTCTCCACCCCCTTTGTATATTAGCATATCCACCTCTCCTAATGATAAGGAGTGATTAACCAGGCTGGTCGTGATGACTCCTTTCTTCCCTTGCTGGTCTCCCAGCATGAGGAACCTGATGTGACCCGGTGGTGTCTATGGCTAGAAGGTGTGTGTTCACAGATGGAAATGTTCACCTTTTGGAAACCAGGGCCTCCAATGCACCAGTGGTAAGAATCATGCATCTATTCCTGCAGCTTACTTTAAATTAAGATCATATGAGAAACTGATAAGTGCTATGAAAAGGACAAATGAGGATAATGCAATAGAATGTGATTATCTGTGAAGGTGGCATTGATGAGATCTGAATGAGATGAAACCAGCTCTTTCCCTATCAGATTAGATAGAGCGATGATGTCCTTGGGTCAAGTTATCCCCGAGGCCAGCCAGCCAGTGGGCCAGGTCCACTTTTTATCTTCTACCTCTATTCACACCTACTTTTCTTTCATATGCCATGTTCGGGAGCTGGGGATGGGGTGGGGAGTGAGAGGAAACCTCTTTTCTGTGAATCAATAAACACAGCTAATTAAAATCATCGTTAGGTTCTTATGGACCACACAACAATGATCAGTTGGCTATCCAGAAGCACTTTCCAATCCAAAAATGTCCCTTGCCCACCTCCACCTGTAAAGGCAAGACAAATTTAGATGTTTCCTTCTCTTAACTCCCCCTCACCCACTGAATGGCTATCTGAACCAGTTCTGGACAATAACATGCAACTCGAGAAGGTTGCTGAAGGGATTCTGAGCATGCTAATAATCTCCCTACTAGGAGAGAAAGAATAAGTAGGAAGCTCCCTCTCCACTGGCCCTTCTTTCTGCCTTTGAATGTGACCTTGATATTTAGAGCACTTGAAACTAGGAGGGCCAGAAAGAAAGAATCACGGAGAAGCTGAGCCAGAATCCTTCCTTAGATAAGCTACTGAAACAGTATCAGCAACTGACTTCTTACCTACTCCTCTTAAGTGAAGAAGAGTGAACTCGTTGTGTGGGCCTTTGGTACTTGGCTTTTCCTTTATTAGTAATTTTAAAGTGTTCTTTGCTGATCCTGACCACGCAGTACATTTAATTTCTAAAATCTTGTGAAACCTCCAAGAGGAGTGGGCAGTGAACAAAAATGGACAATGAAAGGGAACTAAAAAATATCACAAGAAGCAAAACACATCATTTCGTTTGCCTTCATGATGTCACTCGAGGCACTAAAAGCCAGAAAAGCAAAGTGCCTAAGTTTTTGCTAACTTGGTTTTTAAATATTCCGTAAATGCTTCAT